TCAAAAAAAAAAAAAAAAAAAAAAAAACAGCCTACCAAAAGCAAAAAATTGCAATCTCAAATTGAGAAAGCATTTGTCAGCTGCAAATTTTTGATAATACTGTATTTGATGTAGTGGCTGAATTTTAAATGGTTTAACAAAGACTTGATCTATGATTAGACATAAATCTGTTTTCACATTTCTAAAACTTCAGGCCTTCATCTGTTAAGAAGAGTGATGATGAAGGTTCTCTCCCATCGGAGTACCTCTCCAGTCCTCTATCCAAACAATCTCAGGTAAGAATACTATGGTGTGGGGAGACAGGAGCTGTTTAAACCAAAATTTACTACACTTGTTTTGGTTACCCCTGCCTTGTGCATATTAGTATCAGTAAGGAGAGTTTAAGTATTTAGGCTGTTGACTTTGATGTTTTTTCAATTTGGTATGTAGTATTTTGCCCCATTCTGAGCCTCTCTTCTTTGAAGTATTTTTACTGCCAATGGTTTATTTTGCTGAATTGAACAAGGTGGTGAAATGTTTTTATTTCTTTATTGCTCACAGTAATTCTTAGATTGATAATCTTGCTAAATATTACTTAGAATACCTAATTTGGGTAACTTGTTTGTAACAATACAACAACAACCTTTAGACTAGGGATTGATTCTGAAATAAAAGTAAAATCAGTTTTTACTAAATTATTATAAAAGGTTAAATGTTGTAATTAAGAAAATAATTTTCCTGGTGGGATATGAATGGTATTATTATTGTTATTATTAGTGTAGGACTTGACTACTTCCTTTGCCATAAACTTTTTGTGAATAACATTTCATATATTGTCTGTCTTTAATGTAACTAAAGATTTCAATTTTTATAACCATAGGGGCACATTATTTATATCAAATAAAGATGCTTTCTTATTGATCATTATATAACTTAAGTGTACCATGTTTATAACAACATAATGGAAATATGGAAATAAAAATCATGATTGGAGGCTTTCAATGGCATCTGAAAAATATATTTGCATAATGAGGTGGAGTTGCCAATAGCCATTAATAGAAAAAATATATATAATGTGATTAAAGTAGGTGTCGTTTGATAATTTTTTGCATAGAATTTGCCCTTATGCATTTAAGAACGCATGCACACGCACACACACACACACACACACACAGAGAGAAAGATTTTTGAGATTTTGCATATTCCCCATTTTTTGAGTTGTACAACATTTAGCTTTTTTTATCTTATTCTTTTTTTACAAAGATATTTTTCTTTTAGAGCATGTCTTTCTTATACATCTGGAATTGACAAGAAATAGTGTATAATAATAACATCTTGATTGATCAATATGGAATTAGATATTCACATGTTAACTCTGGTTTTAAAACATTTTATAATGTAAAGATCTATAGCATTATGGTGCTATAAAATTCCCATTAAGAGGCTTTTGCTGAATTCTTTTGAATTTAAATTGATTGTCTGAATGGCTTGATTGTGCTAAGAAGTAGAAAGTCCTATAAGCTTAATTTATAGTCAATGGCCGGCTTGCAAAGTCAACATAGCATGACATAGCAGGTCACATGACAAAGCAGGTGAGTGAGTCAGTTTCCCATTTTGCTATTTATAGATCTGTTGAACATAAGGCATATGTATTATTCACTGTACAGCACCAGGGCTGCCTTTGATTTTCAATACATTAGAGATTGTTTGATAACATAACTAGGTCAATAGCTGTACTGGTTGTAAACTATCTGGACATAGTAGAAGTGAACATGTGGAAGAAAACGGTAGGTTTAATGGACAAAGTTAGTGATTATTAATGGACTAAATGATAGATTAGTTTGTGGACTAGGCAAAGCAGGACGTGGTAACCTTAATAAAAGACAGGTAGAAGGTGTAGAATTTATGTATATTGGCTGTTTGGGTAACATAATTTTGTAATAAACTTGATTTACTTGAAGGTTGGTTTTCAGTACATACTTTTAGACCTGTCTGTGTCAGCTTACTCAGCTCTTTCTGTAAACAAAAGAAATTCAACAATTTTTCTATTTAAGAAAGTCAGCATTGTACTGCACATGAACTAAAAAGACTTAAACACTGTACTGGAGAGCTGAAATATATCATTCTTCATTAATCTCTCATTACTAATTAGTGGCAGACTGTACATGATTTAGCAACAAGGTAAATTGATTTTAGTAAAAACAAAGTTTATGTAAATGTTACTCCATACTAAAACTGGAAGCCATACATGAATCCCTGCTGAACAGTACAAAAATAATTGTATAGAATTAACCAGAGACATATCTGTGTATATCTAGTGGAAAATCATTCTGTAGCTTTGGTACAGGGTAGGTATATGTTATAATTATGTCAAAATGTAAGGTGATGCATGAGAAAAGAATTCTTTCTGAAGGGTTACCTATCTATAACTAATGTGGATCCTATGCTAAATTAGAACAACTGCTTAACGATAAGGAATTGCTTGAAAACGGCATATATGTTTGGCCTGTGTAAATCAATACAAGCGTAAAGGTGGGAAGTCTTTTGCATTATCATAGACCAAGGAAACGCACTGTGTTCTGTCGCTTACATAGATGCCAAAGTAATTACTACTTCATAAATCAGCAAATATGTTAAAACATTAAGGATATTTCTGTTCCAGGAATTGTTAAAGATTTTCAACAGAAATAAAGATGTCATTATATTTGACTTTATGGTGTACTTATATTTCATACGCATTTACAACTTCAAAATAAAGGACTTAAACTTGTTTTATCATGTTGGCAAATACATTTAGGGTCTGTGCAGTCATGCTAAAGCAGTATGTCCCCTCATTTGTTAGCTTCCCTGATCAATGTCCCTCCATTGTCCCTTTGTGTAATCCAGAAACTGGCTGACCCAGGGTGATTTTATCTTCAGTTAGAGGTATAGATTTCATGATAACAGCTCCATTCAGTTTCTTCTTTCAATTGTTTATGCTTTTGGATGTGTCATTGTGAATATCCATTTAATAAAAAAAAGTCTAGACAGAAGAAAGTGGTGATTTTAGTGCTTAATGTTTTAAGCTAATTGATTTTTAGGTATGCAATGCACAATGAGTAAATGGTAAGATGGCTCAGTTGCACTATGTAGTATTTCAAAAGTTTAACATTGTTCCGCTTTTTTTTTTAGTATGTGTTTCTTTTTACACCAAACAGTACAGTTACAAAAAGCATATCTGTTAAATAAGAGATGGCCCTGCCACTGACGACCATTTAACATTGAGGCTTCCAAACTGTTGGAAGCAAACTTGTAAAAGGTGGTAACCCATCCCCCCTCTCATAGCTTAATTACATGTTGGGGACTAATCACACTTTGAAAACTTATGTTCATGGATCCATATGCTTCTTGCACACCAGTTATAGATATCAGTATCTTTACTTTTTTGTGGGGAGTGGCTTATCGATTGACTTTGAAATAATAATTTTCTATTGATGAATGAAAGAGAAAACAAACAGTCAATAATTATAAATTGGTTGCAATCCCCCTCCCACACATACATCATGCCAGATTAATGTGTTTGTCATTTGTAAGAGTACACTTATTTTGTTCAAGGCACCACCAGCCAAGTCAGAGCAGGAGTTGCAGGAAGAGGAGGAATTGCAGCTTGCCATTGCCTTGTCCAAGAGTGAAGCAGAGAATAAGGAGAGACAGGTATGTAGGCATCGCATTCAATTAATTAGTCTCTCAAGATTGATTTCAACTTGAAAAGGTTGACTATTATAGTTTACTGGGAAGAAAATCAACTAGTTGACTGAGTAAGGGGAACATGGTTTTTGAACATCCAAGCCTATTTTGAAAACTTCATAGTAAATCAGAAAATGAAATCTTTATTTTTAAGCCTCCAGCATATTTTGCCCTTGACAAGTTTTTCTATTGACCTTATCATTGTAACTATTTTATTCACAACACTAATTAAATATGGATATTTTTCTACTATTACACTGAATTGCAGAAGCAAAAGAAATCGGGAACTGTAAGTCTAGATACACTTTTGTTAGAATCTGCATATTTTTTTCACATCTGTGGTATGGCATGACACTTCCAAAATTGTTGTGGCCTCTATTTTTGATTTCTATTTTGCCAGAAAAACACCTTGTCATGAATATAATATTTCTTCACATCAGGTTTGACTGTGCAGCTACTTTTTTATTTGATAAAGATGACACAGTTTAATTATTTTCAGTTCATTCTTTGGCTTTTACTGTACAGTTAGCTCCCATATAGTGGAGATTTAAATGTCAATTAAGTTTCTAACACAACAAATGTAAGTCAGAGACATTGTTAGACAAGCACATTATCTAATTGTCTTACTACAATAAATTAACAATAAAACAGGATATTTATGTGCAATATCACACAGTGTAATAACAACAGTGAGCTGTTAAAATATATCTTAGCTACTGAACTTGACAGATAAGATAATTTTTTCTATCCAGATGAATGAACAAATATTTCAAATTTGATTATAATTAATTTAAATAACAGTACTCTTAATTGTTGTTGATTTTTGTAAAATAATATCAGAACAATGATTTGACAACAATGATGCTATCTTTCAGCGAGACCAACTGAGAAAATCTTATGGCTATTCCGACAGTTCTTCCTCAGGCACTGGTGCTTCAAACGCCTCTTACCAACAGCCTGTTGTAAGTAAACAATTTTCTTCACAAACCCTTAACATTATCTTCTGTAGCTTTAAAAAAATAATGCAAAACATTTTTCCAAAACTACATTATAATTTTGCTGAAGTTTATGATTGATGTTTTATAAAATGTTATCTCCCTTTATGAATATTTATCGGTCCCACTGTTGCTATCTATATCAAATCAGATACATACATTAACCAAGTTGCTTTGTATACACAGTATTAATCAATCAGTCACTTGCACACTGACTCATTGTTTTGTTTTTGCTACACATTTTCAAATAGCTTTTGCTGGTTGATCACCATACAATCCTTGCTAGGACTATGTCTGATACTGGCAAGTTACAGTTAACAGTCCAGCATACTTGAAGTTGTTTTGGAGCAGTCACAACTAGACAAGCATCTGAAATTGCTCAACATGTAAACCAAAGAGGTTTCTGTGCAGTGTGGTCAGTTGTGGTTGGTCCATTTCTGATCAAAGCTGTTGGGTCAATAACACCTGGATTAATTTTCTGTTCCAGACTGTGTCGGCTCCAGTGTTTGATGCTGGTGAGATGGACCCTGAACTGGCCAGGTATCTGAACAGAAACTACTGGGAAAAGAGACAGGAAAGCAGTAGTCAGCAGGGTGGTGCTTCCTCAGCGGCCAGTGGGACAGGTGCTTCCACAGCCCAGCCCAGTGCTCCTGCCCCAGCCGCTGAACCCAAGGTGTCCAACATAGCCAAGGTGCAGGAGGTGAGAAGTTCTCCTTTTAAGTGTTCAGTAGTGTAGAATATTAGGTATTAAGGTCTGCTTCTTGCAAGTAGATCAAAAATTGAAGAAAGAAGGAAAATCAGTTATACAGAAATTTTGATTTTTGTAAGCTGCATTACAGCACAGAATGGTTTTTTTAAAAAAATGGAGAAATGAGTATGAATATTAAGTTTCCTATAGGTTAAATTTAAAGTTAATATCTGTTAAAAATAATGTATATATTATATGTTTTGTCAAAATTAACCTAAATTTTCATTTATTATCTGAAGCAATACCAGAATGGAGAGACAAATGACGAGGACCAGTTCCTGAATGCCCTGAGAAGCAGTATTGAGATCTTTGTGAATCGTATGAAGAGTGACTCCATGCGTGGCCGTAACATAGCCAATGACTCTGCTGTCCAGACACTGTTCATGACCATCAATGCCATGCACCCTGAGCTGATGAAGCACATGAGTCAACAAGAGGATCTGAGAGGTGAGTAGATCAGCTGAGGACTGGCCCTAGGCTGTCCCAATTGTCTGTTATTTATCAGAATATAAGCTTTTTCCTTTCAAGGAATTTTGAGATTTTTAATGCAGTAAAAATTGGTCTTGTGATATGTTAAGATAAAGTTTTACATAACTTGGGTTCATGTCTGTTTTATGTATTTTGTTTATGTGAAAAATATGTATTATCATTCCTGAAATGAGTTCTTCATTGGATCTTGCTGTATATAGTTTTTAAGGTATTTTTGTCTAACAATATCATTTGAGTAAGATTATAAAAAAGTTTAATTAGTTACATATTAAGCAGGTGAACATAGTTTTTTGATTTTTTTTTAACCCCTTGAATAGCCCATTATGAGGCTCTTCAAGACAAGCTGACTCAGTTGAAAGAAGCAAGAGATGCACTGGATGCTCTGCGTGAGGACCACAAGGAGAAGATGAGAAGAGAGGCAGAAGAGAGGGAAAGACAAAGACAGATCCAGATGCAACAGAAATTAGAGATTATGAGACAAAAGAAACATGTGAGTATTTGTAGTCTTTATACATACACGTTACTAAATGTTACAATTTAAATGTCTATTTATTATTTAAGATTTATCAAATAACTATTTTTGCAGTGGTGACTCAAAGCACAATTAAGTAAAAAAAGAAAGGATATTTTTTACAAAGGTTCAAAGAAACCATTACATGTCAGAGCAGAAATTCATTATGTCAAATTTATTACCAGCATATTTGTTTTATTTTCTCCTCATGGATTCTTTTGTTTTTGAGTCTGTCACAGTTTTGCAATCATATCTTTCAGGAATATCTCGAGTATCAGCGCCAGCTGGCAGTGCAGCGTATGCAGGAACAGGATAGACTGATGAACATGAGACTTGCTCAGCAGAAACAGATGGTACAGATGAGGGAAATGCAATATGGGCAGTTTGGACAGTATAATCAGGTAAGTCACATCACTTTTATACAGGCGCACCTACATATGTGTATATATGAGTGTTATGGGCAAGTTGTATAACACACACAGATACATGCATGAACATTAGTTTAAAAAATGGCACTGCTTAACACGAGTCTGCAAGAGTAGAAGCATTGGCATCCATAAATTGCTGTTTATGAACTCCTTCCGATCACTATCATGTTTAAAATGTATGACTACAACATATTGTCTTTAACACTTGTGTTTTCAACTACTGTTATGTTATATACATATGTGTTATATGTTTTGTTAATTTCCAGCCCTATGCACAACAAGTTCCCCAGGGCTATCCTAGCAGTGGTTCAGCAGAGGGCTCCCCAGTCCACATGATGCACCACCAGCAGCAGCAGCCTGGTGCCTATGGTCAGCCCCCACCCCCACAACACATGGGTCCTGGGCCAGCACCTGGCATGGTGGGACAACCACCACACATGGGGCCTCCCGGGGGTCCTGGGGGACCTGGAGGACAAGGACCCCAACCTCCCATGGGACCTCAAGGACCTATGGGATCACAAGGTACAGATTTTGGTATTCTGACTAACTCTACCTGTCTCAGACGAGTTTTAGGTTCTAACCACACTTGAAAACAGTTTAATTTTCTGAAAGCTAAGTTCCACATAAATAGAAAGCAATAATAGGTGCTTTGAAAAGAGCATTATATTGTCATTTGTAGAGGTATTTTACTTAATGATTTTTGGTTTAACCAATACAGGTGCTCCTCCAGGCCAGCCCCCCATGGCTAACCAGCCCTACAACCCAGTCAGTTCCCAGCAGATGTACACACCCCAGGGCCAGGGACTACAAGGTTACCAGGCCCAGGCTGGAATGCCACCTGCTCAGACTGCACCAGCACCCTACCAGCAGGGTCCACCCCCACAGGGGCCCCCATCAGGATCTTACCAGCCACCACCCACTGTGGGCCAGCAGCAGCCTATGTATACTGGCCAGCCTCCACAGTCTGTGGGTGGAGGGGCTGTGAGTGGGGGGCATGGTGCCCCCAGTCCAGTTCCCCAGGGATATGGGCATCCTGGAGGGCCAGAGTACAACTCTTATAACATGCAAAGTAAGGCCACTTGACACTATGAGCTGAAGTATGAAACAGTAACATGCACTAGAATATATACAATCTTATTATTTATAATGAAAGGAATGAAGTTATAAAGGTGCACTAATAGTGATAGTCAAAGTAGAAAATTGACATTTAAAAGAAATAGGTATTAATTAATTAATTGTTTAATTAATTAATTGATTGATTTATTGTTTTATTAATTAATCCTTTCCTGCTCAGGTATGGCCAATGCTTTGCCAGGCAACAACCAGGGCCAGCCCCAGGGTTACATGCCAGCCATGGGACAGTATCAGCAACCTCCACAACAACATTACCAACAAGGTGGACCTCCTCCTCAGCAACAACCACCACAACAACAGCCACAACCAAGAGAGGCAGAACTGATTTCATTTGATTAGACATAGATAAATATAATATAATATACTTGATGTTGTGAGACTTTAGTGAAGGGTTGCTTTTGATGGTCCACATCGTATGTGCAAGTTAACTGGTTTATATAATAGTATGTGGAACACTGTTATTATGGAAAATAATGTATGTTTATAGATTATAATTGGCACACTCCAATAAAAAGTAAAATGAAGATTATGAATTAACATTAGCAAGGTAATATTATATATGTTGGGTGTATTCTTTCTGAGAAGTAAGATTTATATTGCACTTTATATGCCAGATTGAGCACAGACATTGTGAAAAAAGGATGGCTGGTGGGAATTGTTTAATGGAATCTTTATATTCTTGTGCTTTAAAAGAAACTTACCTGTCAGATTTCTATGATTTGTGAAAATGTGGTTTTGGATTTTGCTTTTTTTCTTGGTCAGACAAAATTTTAATATTTGATTAAAATGAAATGAAAGTTTTGGGTCTGTATTTTAATGTGGCAGATTTTTGTATGTATGAATGTATTCATCAAGCTGGGCTCTGTTTAACATAATCACTCCAGTGTTTTGATTCAGTTAATATTTAAATTTGTTACTACTTTGCTTAGTCAAATTCCAAATATTGGTACATCAGCTTTTCACAAATGATAGCCCACTAATAATTCAAGGTGGCACATCATAATACTACTGTGACCAGTGTGAGTAAAATGAGTGTCAGCATTATTCAAATTTAATCTCTAAACCACTCTTTAACACTGAAAAAGATGAGATAAGCTTAATTTTAGATGTTATAAAATGTTATGGTTATTAGGTAATACTAATATGCAGCAGAATCATGGACAAACAGGACCCTGCTCAACTGATTTTGTTGTACAAGTTGCAAAATGTACACCATACAAAATGCCTATGAATAAACATTACAAAAGTAACTTTTATGTTTTAGTGTTGGTCATATCAGTGGCTTATTTGTGCACGCAACAACACGCTCCGCTCCACAACACGCTCCATCATAATGATAGATTGGTGTAAATTTTGGGTTACTACAAATATTTAAATGTCAAACACCTGGGCTTAGAACATTACAGATCTAAAAAGAAAATTTGACAAATGAAAAAAACTTATGTTAAACAACTATTTCACATCTCGAAAAGTATGTTTCACAGATATTAGTCTTCCAAATATTTGGGAGATATATTTCTGCCTCCTGAACCCCCTAATTAGATCTAGGCACCCTTGGTGCTGGCATTAGCAAGATTAAGTCCATTTTCATCTCTGCTTTCATCCAAAATATTTGCAAATTTTATTGTTTAGATAAAAGAAATTAGAAACGGCTATATTTGCAAATTGAATGTAGAACTATAAATAATACAGAGTTCATAATGCAATAACAAATGTTTAAAGTTGATTTTGAGTCAAAAGAAAAATTAATGTGCTTGTATATAAATAAATGTAAAATTAATAGACATTCTAGGTTTAGCTGATCAATGTTCTTACAAAACTGTTGGTATTACATCCTGCCTCTTGTGTCTGTTTATATTGAATAATATCACAAGTATTTTGCATATAATTTTTTGTCTTAAAATGAACATCAATCATCATGATCATGTCTTCATCCTCTGGATTAATGCTGTCTTTCTAAATTAATGCTGTCTCTCTAAATTAATGCTGGAATGTATAGATTTTCTTATTGACTGGTTTTCTTGAACAGCAATACTTTGTTATTAGCTGGCATGTCCACCTGGAAATATAAAGATCTCAAAATTTGCAAACCTCACAAAAAATACTGAGTGCACAACAAAGTTACATCTTGAGCAATTGAGGGAAAAATTGGTAATTTTTGTTTATACTTCATCCGATCCTAATAAACAGTTGTTGGCATGGTGTCACTTAATATGACCACATTTATGCATCTAAAACAAAATTGAAATTTTCAAGGATTTGTTAGCATTACCATTTTTTCTAAAGTCAATGCATTCTCTTTGGCTAATTTCTCCAGATCAGCAGTATCTCTTATACCCCATTCAGGACACCTGAAATGAAAATCAATCAGCTAAATTGAAGAATTTACAAGATCTGACAGTTTTACTTGATTTTTATCATTTAAAATTACTTAGTACTCACCTATGAAATTCCATGCTGGTCAGAACATTTGTAACATTTATGACAGTCACATTTATATTAGAGATTTTAGACACAGAATTGAGATTTTACTAGATGTGCAAGTTTTTTTTCATATTCATTCCCATGTAAGGACCCTTTACAACAAAAATTGATCTGAAATAAAAAATTCTCTATGTCACATTTATCTATTTTACCTCTGAAAAATTTCTATCAATAGCAAAAAGGAATTATTCTTCCCAACTACCTTTCTTTAAGGCTTTGATCAAATCTCACATTGCTTTCTGGTGTCAACATTCCATTGATCATGTAAGGCTGAAAAGAAAGATTCTTTTCTAAAATGTTCTCACATAGATATAAGCAATATATTATCTCAAGCAGATCTATGCATTATGTTGAGGGGGAGAAAAGTGGAACATGAGGGATAAAAGTGTTTGGTTTTCTTTGATACCATATAATTGCATGTGAAAAAAATCCAGCTAAAGGTTAAGTACCAATGTACAAATAACCTGCCTCAGTTGAAAAATTTTAATTCTTTTCTTAAAAGAAAAGAATCCTTTAAAACAACAGACAAATGGGTTAACAGTTCTTATTACTGCTTACAATTAAACTGTTAATAATTACTGACTACAAAGCAACTTTTGCATTGTATTCTACTATAAATTTTGAAAAAAAAATTTATCTTTATAAAAAAATATTGTTGTGCAACTGCGAAACTATTCCAATAAACTATGTACAGTGCTGCATAATTTCACCTGTGATATACCCAATATATTCTTACTTAATCACATTTTTAAAAAAGCATAAGGCCAAGAATGCATCCTCAAGCTAAATTGGAAGCCAATGTAAAGGGGCATAGCAAGAGCCATAGAACATTGTTTCATGAGGAAAATGCATATTTTAAGTAATCCAGCCACAAAATGAAAAAGAAAATACATACATAACTTACAGTAACAACTACATGTATGGCTTACCCTAGTAACCTTTTTGCAGGCTAATCCAACTTTACCTTTAACAATAAAGAATGTGAGGGGCAGGGTGGGTAAGCTGTGAAATTTTAATATTCTCCACTATTTGTCAATATTAATGTATTGGCCAGTCAAAGAATTAAAAGAACAAAAAAGCCAGTGCAAGCAACAAGTGAGAAAAAAGTGTGCTATAAATTGACCAACCAGAGTTGCAACCTATGGTCACATGCACAAATCTTCTTGTGCACCGAATTAAATGAGACTTAATAATTTAAGTCTCCAGGTGTGGTGGACAACTGCTTCTGCAAGAAGACCCTGTAGTTATATGTACATGTTCAGTAAAAGGGTTATGGTTGCAAAACAAGACCAAAATTTTCTAAAATACTATCTGTAAAGAAAAATATTTTTAGATATTATTAAGCTAATGATGGGGAGAAAGGTAAAGTCACTGCCCCCTGTACCCCCCCCCCCAAGCCCCAATCCTTTGTGGTATAATAAGCTATTTGATAATCCAATTTTTGTAATTAGTATTTTTCAACAAAACATAAGATATTAATAAAAGCTTACCCCATAGGTTGCCATTATTGCACCTGGTTTAAGCAAAACTCCTGCAGCTTTAAACAAACCCTAGATAATAAAAAAATTAACTTATCCTTTCCTTTAAAAAATCTAAGCATAAAAATTTCACTTGTGTAGGTTTAATTTCTGATTACATCTTCATGACATTTCATGGGTACATCAAGGTATGTGTACGTGTGCATGCATGTGCATGTGTATGTGTGTTTTACTGGTTAACTTAATGTGGACACTGATGAGTAAACAATATCATTTCAATTTGCAAAACTACATATTATGTTGTAATTTCAGGTAAGATATAAAGTTATTCGTTACCTCTGTGGCACTCCAGGGAGATATGTGAATCATGTTGATATTGACTATCAGATCACAAGACTGTGGTATCAAGCTCCCTCCTGCCCACTTGGACAGAGGCTGCGAGGCATCAATGAACACTGGCTGCAGCACATTCTTTGATTCTTTAGCTGCTATGTATCCTGCTATACTGTGAAGGGAAAAATCATTAAAAAAAAGTTATTTATACTAAGTTAGCTCTGAGTATGCTCAGGTTTGTGTGTTTGAGCTTCTCTGGCCAACTTGTAAAAGCAAAGTATAAAATATCAAAAAATGTTCTAATTCTAGTAATACTGTGAAACTTATGCAAGTATTCTTTTTGTAGGGGAACTGACCATATTTAAATAAGTCACTCAAGCTCTTTGACAAAATCTTATGCATTCTGCATGATCTAACCATAAAATGTTCATTTTCATAGATATTATACTAGTACTTCCATACAATCTAGGAGTTTTGGAGCGTTTAGGACAACTCCCAAGTTGATCACTGAAAGAGATCCATGCATTTACCTTTGTAATGAGTCTTTGTCACATTCTGATGGCTGCCATGTGACATTTGGCATGTGTTCTGCAAAATGCACTACATGTTGTCCTGGTCCTAGGGAAAGAAAAGAACTTCATTAAAAACATATGAAGACTGATGATGATTATCAAAATATAGAAATTGGCAATGCTAAAAAAACAATCTTTGTGGCTATGCAATCCTCCACTCAAATGTTATTGTTTAAACACAATGCAATATAGTGCACTGTCATTAAGTAATTAAAGCATGTTATTTAAAGCACCATTATCAACTTTCTTCTCTCTTTAATTCAAAAATTTTGTTCCTGAAAAAGAAGGCACAATTTTAGTACCTGAAGCAACCTCTAGAGCAAAAAGCCTACTGTCTGAAACTAAATGTTCCTTGAGTACTTGAAAAATGTGGTCTTTGTTTCTCTCTGCTGCAGCTGACCTCATCACATTCACAGCAGCACGAGAAGACATGATTAAGCTGAAAATATCACTGAAACTTTCACAGGAGGATACAGGATTTCACTAATGAAAAAGGGGGGAGGGGGTGGGCACTAGAACAAAACTGGATGTCAAGGTAGGCATACATAGAGATATTACATAAAGTAATTTAGACAAAAAGATTTTATGATGTGGATGCAAGATGGAAGGGAATTAGAACTGGATTGATTGCATTAAAGAATACACTGGACCACGGGATTGCAAATATCAAAAATCTTCTGTAAAAATTAACCAACCATCCTAATTTTCTAACTCATAAATATTAAGTAAAAGAAACTAATGGTTTAGCAATAAAGGGACAAATGTTGCAAATATAAATGCCAAAGAATTAATAATATAAAAGAAAAACATACATACATGCATGAAATGATTAGAAATATTTACATTGTCTGTATGTAAAAAAGTGTATACACATGTACATAGGGAAAAAATAATACTTGGAAGCGTCCCTCAAGCCACATATTGTACTATATCTATATGTCTCTACACTAGTACCCACCAAACATTTGCGTTATCATGGAAAGAATGAGAGGCAGTAACTATATCACAAAAGTTTAATTAAGTAAAAATGAAATAAAGTTCAAATTTTAAAAAAATTAAATATCAAATCTGCTGTGGCTTATACTCAGAAAATTACCTCTAATGAATATTTCTTTAATAAAAACTTTAACTCAAGTGTTTGTATACCTGCTCATGGAATTATATCATTGGTGATTTACCTGAAGCAATTTCCAGAGCAAACAACCTTCTCTCCTGGTCACTGTGCTCTTTCAGCACTTGTAAAATTGGTCCTTTATTTTTCTCTCCTGCTGTTGTCCAGTCAGTGTTCACCACAGGCATGTTACACTGATTAATATAATAGGTGAAATATGCTTTCAGTGAGGAAGAGAGAATAGCAACTTTTTAAAAAAATTTATGTACATTGTATGCATTTCTGGGGGGATGATAGCTGTGGATGCAGGTCCTTGCTTCGACAGGACAAATATTCTGTAATTAGAATAATAATAAAAATAACAATGTTTTTTTTTTCACAATAAAAGGGCTATTATGACATTATACTAATCACACACACACACACACACATGCACAGGCCAACAGTGGTAGGCCTATATATATATATATACCAATGGCAATATATATGGGGGCATTTGTTCTTTATTTTATTTTTCAGTTAATTTTATATTTTAGCTTAAATACATACATTGCTGATAAGTATTTAACAATTTGCAATAAATCTTTCAATGATAAGTCATACTATTGTTTTTCCGTAGCTGTTTGTACAGTACGTGGGTAGGTTCTGCGCGTCTTCATTGTGCAAAGGCCTACATATTAATTAATAATAATGCTCACATTCTTTGCAGACTCTCCGTCTTGATTTGCTACGTCAGGCGATGTGACCATCGACTTTTGCATTTACATGTGCATGACTTAACGCATTAAAAATGTTTGTTAACATTTTTACGAAAAATAAAAAAATCGTACATGCGCCGCCCGGGAATCGAACCCGGGTCGCAAGAATGGGAATCTTGCATGATACCACTACACCAGCGGCGCCTTTCGGTCATTGCGAGATTTTTAAAAGTATATAATAATGCTATATATCCTTATTTTTGTATATGACTCTACCGTTTACTATCCATTAAATATGACCGAAACACATTCATAGCAAATAATCATTATTATTCAAACAATAAAACAAACGATCAACCACAAATGTCGCTATTATTCTCCAGCTAAGCGCACTCTCACCTCCAGTTGCTAAGCAGGTACCCGGATGTGGATGCGCAAATCACTGCGCAGATTAATGTTACTGGCACGAGGATATGTATGCTTTGACAAGAGGCTCCACTAAAATTTCAACTCACCCAAGAAGAGGTATGTGAAATTACAAATTGCACGTTTCATAGGGCTCGTCGAGTCATAAAAATTGGCATAGTGAAAAATTGAAGTTCGTAGACCGTTTTTAAGCCATTTTCTTTCGATTTCTAGGGCCGACGCAGCTGATCGACAGGGTTGAAAGTCGAGACCTAGCAAAGCGTGAGCCTTCGGGCCCCGCTCCAATGACGTAAGTATGCCTTCTCAAAGTGAACAAACACACAGACTGAATAAATTGGTCGAAGTATCATAACCTTGAATGAGTTAGTTGCAAAAGACAACTTATATTTGGTAGAAAAATCTTGAGCACTTCGCTTATCGCCACACACCTGATGCAATCCTCCACGTGTAGGAATCATATCAGCTGTTTCTGTAAAGGTAAACAAGCAGGGAATGTGCATATAAATGTCAGATAGGGCAGCGAAATTGTGCAATCTCAGGTTAGCAGGATAAGACCTTTATACGAGAATGTTAAACTCCAACATTGCTATGTGCAGCTTTCTACCTTTTTGTTGTATTTCACGCTTAATTGCCTGCTTTATGTAAGTGCAAAATTGTTTCATAACACCTCCATTTGTAGAACCGGTGCAAGTGATTTCACTTTCCAGTTCAGCATTTGTTATTTGGCAATTTTTACCCGTGAACCAAATTGTTGGGTTCAAAAACAGAAGTTGACTATGTTATGTATTTATCTATCACTATCAGTCTCACCTTAAAGCTTTTTCTGTTGCACTTCAATTCAGTAAATACCACTGATAATAACAGGTTAGTTAAAGGTAAATACCATAGAACCTCCTTGCCCTTCACGCTATTTTGCAGATCACCATTCCAAGAAAGCTTTTAAATATTTTGACACCCTTGAAATGTTTCCAGCACATGTAGATAACATTAAGTTTTACTGGACCTTGTTGGTCCAAAGGCAAATGTCAGAATTTGTTTTGGTAGCAGGAAATAGAGGCTATCTTCTACAAACCCTTCACTTGCCAATTTCAACAGAATTTAAGATAGCATGATAACCTTTAAATGGTTTCTTCAATCTTGACTGAGATGTTTGAGTTTGTGCCTTTATTTGTTAAATTGGTTCTCATCTATTGAATGTTTCAATTTGTAATGAGCAAAAAGCAATGAAACCCTTAAGGTTTTGTATATTTTCAGTTAAATACCCGAACAATTGTGAAATTCAAAGTATAAATTGCTTGAAAGTGGACATATGATTCAGCACTAAAATGGCAGTACGCCCAGTATTGGCATGTTTGATTTGGTTGAATAGAAGAGAACAATTAAGTTATGTGCACTGTGTTGCCACTTGATTCGTGCAGCATTGTGCTGAATTGAAATGTCCGTTACAATAATATTGGCTTTGTGCCTTTTCTGGCCTGAAATAATTGAAAATGACAGTTCCAAGGGTCATGACAGTAGTTTGTGTTCTTTGAATTTACATATATATATCCAATTAAAAATTTTCTCTCACCTGCCTTTTTCATCCAGGCATGGGTCACGGCCACTTGAGAATGACAAGATTTTTGATAAACCAGACCCTCTGGGCCGGAAACATATATGTGAAAATAAAATAAATAAAAATAAATTACATGTAAACAAATGGAAATAAAATACTTCATTTGGACCAGCACAGAATTAGTAGGACCTGCAGATTTCTTGTAGTGCAGGTCCCCTGAAAGAAAAGTTCTCCTCCTGTCTTTTTTCACCTGCTATTCATTAGTCACTTCATTTATATATAATTATAATTTTATATATATATATATATATATATATATATATATATATATATATATATATATATAATTATTGTGGTTATTAAGAAGATAGGTAATTATATTTTGAATTGTAATTTGTAGGTCTCCAAGGCCCCTGTTTAATGACAAAAAGACTGCGGTTGTGAGACCCGTAACAAGAATGGCTCCAGAGCCGGTGACTCCCCACCATGAAGATAATGTCAAATTCTTACTGCAAGGTGAGTTTTAGATGGAGTAGAGACACAAAAGGAAATGGGAGCAAGCCAAGCAAATGTCTGTATTGTATATTCTGGGCATCTACTGGCATTCGCATGAAGTAGCTATAAAGTGAGTGCAATGTATGTAATTTCATTTCCAAATTTGAATCAAAGAACTTACAATGTTTATCTTTTGCTATTAAGATAATGTTACATGAAAAACTGTCGGAAATAAATCTGTTACTATTATTTTTTTACATTCAACTCGATATCTCACATGTGATTTTATTTTTGCAATTGTTTTCTTTCCCTAGCATGGCAGCAAGTGCAGAGAGAAATTGAAATGAGTCAGAAGTCGGGAAAAGACGGTAAGTGTTGCTTTTTTCTCACTATCATGAAAAAGTAGGTGTTAAAGATTTAAGATCCTATAAAAATATACAAAGGCAATAATTGTGCCTGTTTAACTTGAAGTAGTATTTATGTCATATGATAGAAAAAAAAAAGATGACCCCCCCCCCCAAAAAAAAAATAATAATAATACAAAAAGAAAATTGTTAAACAGGGCCGTAGCCTGAGCAAAATGCCAGGGGGGGCAGTAAGCGGACACGAGGGGGCGAAGCTACCGAGGGGGGAGGGTGTGGTGTGTAAACTTCCAAATTCCAGGGGGGGCAGCTGCCCCCCCTGCCCCCCCGGAGGCTACGGCCCTTGTTAAATATAGTAATGTGCTCTATTATTGGTTCCTTATTGAGAACATGTAATTATTTTATTGTCTTATTTTAGGGCCTATTTTTTATCAGGAGAAAACTCCAAATCCTAAATTATCAGGTGAGAAAGTGCACATAAATGTTTCACTTAAATTTATGTTAAATTGTCCTTTGTAAACACAAGAAATGATAACATTTTGCTAGTCCAATGCCAGGAATCGTTCCTTGTTTTGTTTTTCAATAGTAAGTGTGCTTGCTTTTGTTATGAGATGTAAGTTTCAAGTGTAAATGACAATTTCTTTATACTTTCAGATTTTGAGCCTTTTGATTTGGAATCTTGGTGGGGCAAGAGAACACTAGAAAAAATACACCAGTCGTCCTGAGGAAGGCTGAGACTTAGATCAATTTTACATAATAAATGAAATTTGTACAAGAAGTTGTATATAGACTATCCAAGTTCCAAGATGACTCTCTCTTAAAGACAACGTTACTTAGTACAGCAGACTGTAAGACAAGTTCATCAAATCCATGTTGGCAATACGAATTTGTGAATCCAGGAGTGTCAGTTTTTTGGTATTTGCACATTTCCAAAAAAAGAGAAAAAAACATGGTTTAGGGTTTTAAATGGTACTAGAGGGACGTGTCCAACTGGACACTGAAAAGGATTTGCCCATTTCTTATTTCACCACTATGAAGACGGTTATTTACAAATTCTACATTGTTATTTTTTACATATATACTGAATTGTTCCTTGTTGGAGAAGGAGTAATGTTTTATTATAGCATTTACCACTAGGATCACTGCCAGTGTGTGCTATGCACAGATCAATGTGGCAAATTGATGTAACATAACATTTGTACATAAATATGCAATTGAAAAAAGTTGTTGTTATTGGTGCCGCAAGGCAACCGGTTTTGCGTTTTTCCCTGTTGATTTGACTCCACACGCGTGTGCTTTGTAAAACTTTGATTTGTAAATTTTATTAATAAAAACTAATTTGGGGGGATGACCGTCAATCTCACCGAATATGAAAATTGATTGGTACAAGTTGTTGCACCGCGTCTGCTGCTTAGGACAGTGAAAGGTGGCAGCACGTACCTTACGAGCGTCGTCTCTCAGGATTAAAGACATTCATGTTACGTAAAGTGAACGGTTCTTAACAAATTGAATGGAAAATATATTTAAGTAATGTTTCCCCTTTGATCTCGCTTTTAGTCTATTTTCGTGTGAGTATTTTAAAGGCGTGTATGTAATAGATACAGAGTCAGAGGGGGTTATGTGGCATACACGAGTGCGTAACCCTAACCCTAACCCTCGCTGACGAGGGGTCTATCTTATTTAGACCACGGGCCCATTAGCGGGTTATAACGCATTCATTCGAGACGTGCGGTTATCCAAGTTACACCACGTCCGAGTCTTTTGTTCTTCACTTCCACCGTGGTCTAACGTTTTTGAATCTTTTCTGTTATGATCGAAGCCGTGCGGTGCTGCCACCTTGCAGAAAACTCTTTTGCCAGAGGAGATTTGCTTTGCTACGTCCTTGACCTTGTGAAGTGGCGCGAAACCAAGCAATAATATACAGCATCAAAATGCAAAAATCCATCACGTAAGTACAATTACAATGACGTACCATTTTGCTGTTATCTAAGAGAACATATGTGTAATGTTGCCAATTTTTTTCAGATCGTTCTTCTCACCTGGGAGGCCAAAAGCGAAGGATGAAAATGCGGGTGTTCCTTCTCAGAAGCCAAAGCCTAAGGAAGGGAATGTTAACAGCACTACTAAGAGGTACACTGTGACAGTAGTTAATGTGAACGATGTATTTAGAATTTACCGTTACATAGCATACTTCTCTCTTTAATATCTCATCCCTTCGGAAAAAAACTTATATTTGCTTAACATCCTCATGTGCAAGTAAAAGAAGAAAGAGCTTGACTGCACCTGACCTTGTCTTGTCTCAGTTTTGGGCTTTACTACAAGGTGCCCAGGTAAGGTCTCATAACACACTGTGTTACAAACTCTCATGACTACCTGTGGCATCAATGACAAATGCTGCTTATAATTGCTAACACTACTGCATAGTTGGAATAAAAAGCATAAGTCGTTATCAAACTGGTTTGTGAAACAATACAAAATGATATTTGCAAATGATATACTTTTAAAGTGTGATGGAGGACACACCCTTTCCCAAGATCTGGTCATTTATAGCCCAAATAGTTTGTAACACAGGGTGTTATGATGCCTTGCCTGCATAGCTATTTACATTTTTATATGTAGTACCAACATTTTTTCTACTCCAGTCACAAACCACAATCACCCCTAAAACAAAAAAATCATAGCCCTTCCAAAGACCAGGATTCGCCCCTGAAAAGTCGGGCCAAGAACAAGAAAGGAAGAAGAATTATTGAGAGTGATGATGAGGAAGAGGAAGAGAAGGATATTCCAATGGAAGTTCCAGAAAGAAAAGATGAAGAAAATCCCAAGGAAGAAAAAGAAAAGAAGGAAGAGATAAAAAATGATGTAGAGGTATTTATTCATCAGTCTTCTCTTCAGAGGTGTATCATGTTTTTGCAAGATATCACTATGTGCATACACATTCTTTTTTTCCTACAAAAATGGATCGATTTCGTAGAAAGATAATTGACTTAAAGCTGATGTAATACAGGCTAAAAAGTACATTTGATGATCTTTAAAGATCCTGATGGAAAAATCTTTGTAAATTGGTTTTTAATTTCAATAGTTTATTTGTGAACAATTTTACCATTTTTGACTGATTTTAGGACAAATATGACAAAGTGGAGGTCGTAGGTTCCCCACCCAAACCTCTGAGCCAAGCGTCTTCCAGCTCTTCCAGTCCTGCTGTGGCATCTCCACATGGTATACCAATGAGGAAAACAGGTGACTAGTCGAACATAGTGCAACATAGGTCTTAATGTGACAAGGTGTTTTAGGGGCAATAGGTCCATAAGATGGCAAATACAGTAAAGGCTCAATCATTTCAACAGGGAAAAATTATCAATTTTTCAGATACATAATTTTTGAATCTTTAAAAATACATTGCTGTGTATCATTTTGGTGCTTTTACTAAGAACGTTTTTTTTAAGAACGATAAGATAGTCTGCTTTTCAACTGTGTTGCTACCACTGGATAGGAATGTTCTCATTTTATAATTCAATATTTAGAAAAATACAGTATCTGTAAAATTCACAACTTTCCTGCTTGAAACGATTGAGCCATTACCAGGCTTGTTAAGCATTTACATGCATGCTTGCAGTGTTCGAAATTAATGCTGGACTGTCTGCCCGGGGTCGACAACTTTCAGAAGTTTTCCCACCAGTCAGACACTCAGTCCAGCTACTTATCAATTAATTTTCCTAAGTGACAAACACTGCATGCCTTTGTGCACAAGCACTTTCTTTTAAAGCTGAAAATGTGAAATCAGAGAGTTTAGAGAAAGAAGTAATTATTAAAAGCTATTTCTAAAGTAAAATTTTTACTGGGCACTACAAAAAAACTTAAAGGGATAATAACTCTTCGTTTCGGCAAAAAAAAGAATTTTCCTAGAGTAAACAACAATTTTCCCATACTTGCCAATGGTTAATGAATCCATTTTCACATTCAAAGTTAGTAAGAGATTTTAACAGAGTATAGCCATCAGTGGAGGTCATGTGGTCTAAAGACAAGTTCAGATATCAGAATAATAGCTATAACTGCCGTTTTTTCCCTGATAAAACAGAATATATTTTATTTCTATGAGTTATTCACAATGTTTTTATTGTGAAATATAGATCTCATACGAAGAGTTATTATCCCTTTAACATTGTAATTTCTGTTTAATTTAGCAAGAAAACATATGAAGAAGCGTAAACTTGAAGAAGACAAACCACTAGAATCTGACTCTGGCAACAAGAAGTCTAAACTGGACCAAGAAACAGCAAATGACACTAATAATGTGGAGAAAAATGACAAAGCTGAGAGTAAATCTGCCACCCCAGAAGGAAAAGCCAAAGTCTCTAAGAAACCCCCTTATGAAGACCAGGATGTGGAAATGGAGGAGCAAGTATGTCAGTTTACAATTGGTACAGGTTATGAAAATGGTGTGGTTGTTTTTTTTTCTGCAAAAATTTTATCATGAAGTGAAACTTGTTTACTTTAAATCTCCAGTTGAAAGTAAATAGTAACAATTCCAGGGAATTACTTCCTGTTTGGAGAAAAATTAAGATTGTTTACAAATAAGTATTCTACATTTTTATCCCTGATATTTTTCCTACTTGTTCAATTAAATTTTAAGTTTGGGGATGTACAGGAATCTCTTAAATCCTGAAATTTGGAGATGTTTTTTAAATCAAACTCAAAAAAATTTTTGGGTGGACCTAACTGATTAAGTGTTTTAGGTGAAAGAGAAGTCTCCACCTAATAAAAAGAAAGGGCCAAAATCTAAAAAATCACCTCAAGAGAAGAAAGATAAAGGAAAGAAAGTAAAGGAAGAAAAGAAAGAAGATTCAGGAAATGACAAGGAGAGAAATGGTAACTGAATTGAATAGGTTTTAATTCTCATAGCATAAACATTCCATTTATTGTGTTGTTGTGATTTAATTTAAATATAAGAACATGATCTCCATATGGATTAAAACATTTTTCATTAAAAATTAATCAAACATTTGAATGACAAGTTTCCTTTTTGTTTATTTACATTTAATTTTTTTGATAAGATACAAGTTATGTATAACCATTTAAATGCTACCTGTTTGGTATTCATTTTCAGTTATTTTAAGATTAATATTTGATTTTTCAGTTGTATCAGAAGAAAAAGAAGTAGAAAAGAAGGTAGTAAAGCAAGAGTTACACAGTTTCTTTGGTAAGAAATATTTTATTTCTTAAATCCCAAAATAATTTGAAAAAGGGGATGTTACTATTTTTATTCTGCAGATATCATCAATTTTAGTTTCTGTTTGAAAAACATTTTGATAGAGAAATTCAGTTTAATAATGAGTAAGAACCAAGCCTATACTACTTAAACCACCAGATAACATAATTTACCTTATTTCATACTAGCACCAAAAACCAATTCAAAAAAAGAACCAACGCAAGAAAAGAAAATTGAAGAGAACACAAAGAGTACAGATAAAACGCCTGATAAGCCTGCAGCGAAGAGGTGAGTTACTAAGAGTTTTTTCCACATGCTAGTTTCAAGGGTGGTTACCTATAACTAGACTTTATCTTGGTTAAACCACTAGCTGTTTGGAAGGTCAAACCTCTCTTATATTTTATCACTTTATCAGATTTGAAGCAGGTTAAAAGTAGGACAAACTATAAAATGAAATTGGCCTGCTCTCCTGTTCACTATTAATCTGTAATATTTCATTTAAAGCAATGTTACACAATGAAGGACTCCAGGTTTCCTAACTATTATGACTCAAGAGAGAATAACCTAACTGACCACATCACAGCACCAGGATTTGATTTTAAAATATGGTGTGTGCTCATGCATGTGTTTGTGTGTGTGTGTGGGAGGGGGGGGGGGTCAAAATTTGGTCATCTGATGATGTCAGTTAGTCTGATTTCTGATATGAGTTGCCTCTGATGTGAACACAGCCTTATATGAGCATTGATTCATAGTCATTGGTCAGGTAGGAAACGATGTTACTTGCTGAAATGCACATCAATACTAGACATCTAAAAGGTTCTTACACATATAAAAGGTTCTTACAAATAATAAAAACTTCATATGTTGGTATTGCCTTTATTTTCCTTCCACGGAAAAGAGTCGAAATGTTGGTTATAATATAGTGTTGAAACAGTAAATTCATCTACAAAACTACTGATCTACCCAGCCACAATCTGGGTAAATGTAAAGAAAATACTTGTTTTCAAAAAATAATAAGGATATTTTAAAAATATACTGACAGAACAGTTTATTGCTGCGGATACATAGTTCAATACCTTGGTGATGTTCAGAAGATAGATTGAAATAAAGAAGCAAAAAATACCAGCCACCTTCAGCTTAAAGACTAGATATTTGTTTATTAAAACATTCACTCATCCTTGAATTCCTAAAAGTTTGTGCAATCTAAAACTGAATATTTATGGTAAAGAATTTACCTTATAATTTTACAATAAACCCCAAAAATCTCCTGGTCAGCTGAAGAGTGACCTAAAAAATATTTCATTACTGTTCAGAACATCTCAGTCATCAAAAATTAAATGACCTGAGAAAGTGGTGTAGTCATTCATGACCGCCGATTCCTTGACCAGTTTGACCCAAACATGGTCATCCTGTCGAAGGGAGAGTATGATGGTATTACTACCTGTGCCATGACCAGCTCTCCCATCACCATGCATAGCCACCTGGTGGATTTTATTCTTCATTATCCATGCAAAAGCATCTTTTTTGGGCTGGCCCAGGACGTGAACATGGAAGAGATAGGTCCCATTGACTTTGCATATGAAGTGGGAGGAGCTTTCTTCAAAACTGTTGCCAACGTTGGTGAAAATTTTATCATAAGTCACAGGAGTGTCTTGCAACACGGGTCCCAGCTTCTGACTTCTGGACACTGAAAATGCAATTTTTTTAACTCGCAGGTTATGGATGATGGTGTCTCCCTTTTCACCCTTTTGTCCAATTTTTCCAGGCTCTCCCAGTGGTCCTTGATCTCCCTTACTTCCACGTCGGCCACGCTTGCCTTCTGGACCTGGTGGCCCCATAGGTCCATCAAAACCTATTTCACCTAAAATTAGAACATTAAATGGTAGTTTCATGGGGAAACAAAACACACCGTTTACAATGGGTGAAATCACCTGATTTTAATTTGCGGTGTTTGTGTATTATTTTTACCATCTATTGGATTACAATAATGTATATATAATTGTTTTCTATGATTATCATCAAGATTGCAAATGATTTTGAGCACAAAAAACCTAAAGAGTGCTTAAATCTGTATTCAGAGTTTTAGTTACACGAAATTTACCGTGGAATGAAGTCATCCTTTTGAGATTTTGATAACAGATTGTTCACACCATATATTTATTACTATTATTTATTTATTTATTTATTTATTTATTTATTTATTTATTTATTTATAACAAAAGAGGAGTGGTGGTGAATGATTTAATGAATTCATTTAAGTATAATTATATATGTGGCCAATGAAATCATTATCATTTGTGGGGGAAATATAAGACAATATCCTTTGGTATTTCTTTAAGGTATGCTGTTTGAAAATAAATGGTGGCATTTAGTGGGGTTTAGTTGCAAAACTTTGACTTCATGTGTGACTTAAAACTCCTTTTGGTGATATGTATTCGGTAATTAAATAGTTTACCTGGAAAATGTCAGAATACTCAAGAGGAGTGTGTAATTTACTGCAAAGATAGCATGGGCATGCTGTAATTAATCTTTTATTGAGAAATGATTCATGTTTACTACATTTGGTTCCGGAAGGGAAATTTGTATTTCCAGATGTATATAACAACTTTATTCCTCAACTTTCACTTTTGAAAAGTTTATTCCTATAAACATAATCAAAACCTCCTTCTCCCCTCCAGGAATATAACGGATCCTTTTTATTAATGCAGAGGGTGTGCAGGAAATATGTTTTTTCCCCTTACATCAGTCTGCTAGAATTTTTTTTCAATGAATGACTTGACTCATAACTTTCAAACCAAGGCAACTACATGAATATCGTTCAAGTACTTCCAGATACAGCATGAATAAGCATTATGCAATATGTTCCTATTAATGGCAAAATTTTTACTGAAACTCTGTATATCCTTTTGAGATTTTGATAAAGGATTGATCAGGCCACATTTTTTTTAAAAGACAGAAGAGTTATGGTGGTATTAAAATATAATGATAAATGATGCATAATGAACAATAGATTCTTTAACAGATCAGATTAATTTTATACCTTTCAATCCATATGGTCCTTCCTCTCCTTTTTCCCCCTTCTCTCCCTTACTCCCCGCCTCGCCTCTATGCCCATACATCCCTGGCACTCCAGGTGTTCCAGGAATCCCAGGGGGACCCTGAAGGCAACCACACACATCTTTTGTTATTTCATTCTTGCTGTTGTATGCATCCGTGATTGTGTAGCAGTTGGCGCAGAGGAGCACCAGGGACACATTGAAAATGTATGACAGAACCTGAAAAGAAAAATGAATACAAGAAAAATGCCTTTTTATCTCTGACAGGTGTACCACTGGCTTGGAATTAGGAAATGGTCAGTTTATTGGTAAAAAAAAAGAGATGTGCTTTTAATGACTACAGAAAGTCTTTTGATAACTAGAGAAAGCCTTTGTTATCTGAAGATAAGTCTTTTTGATAAAGTCATTGACTAAGACCCACTTTTCCTGTTGTTGAAAGTGTGGTATTTTTGAAATTAAAGTCACCGATTTTGACCTATCCACGGGTAGATTTGATCAAAGTGAGAGGAGAAACTTTGAAAAAGCATTGCAAGGATCCAGATCAGTAAGATGCAATTGCTGAATTTTATGCCATTTATTCATCATGCTTGCACCCAAACTCAATTTGTGTTCTTTCATCTGATTACATCTTTTTCACAGCATTCCATATGATATTAAACTGCCAAGGAGCTATTTTACTAATTCTTCTTTGTATCTATTCTGTAAAAGTTGCACTTCACTGTCTGGAACCGCGCAAAATTTAGCTATGAATCAAATTTAGAAATAGGCTCGAAATACGGACACAGTTGAAGACTTTTAGGCTTCGTTCACATGCAATGTCTATTTTCTAATTTCTATTTTCTATTTGCGCTATCTTATGATCACGGTCTGTGCCCTGAATATCCCGCCGCGTAATTACTGGCAGCGCGAGCCAGTTACTTATAGTAACTTATAGTAACTGGCTCGCGCTGCCAGTAATTACGCCGCGGGATATTCAGGCCACAGACTGTGATCATAAGACATACCGCAAATAGAAATTAGAAAATAGACATTGCATGTGAACGAAGCCTTAGTTTGGATAACACGAAAATATTACCTTCCAAGTTCGTGGTCAAAATAGTTACATGTAAATCGCTATGAGGAAATCCAATGCTGACAACAATAACCAGTTTCAATCATTTGATGTTCACTCGTCACTTGCTCAGGTATATTCTGACGATATGTTGAATATTACACCCTTTAGTATCTAACCAAGACAATGGCTTCATGAACTTCCTAATCAATGGGTTCTAAATCAGAATAGTAAACAAGCCTACTCTGCCTCTTTAGACTTTACCCAACGTATTATGAGGAGTTACAGACTACAGTAAAAAGTTATTACGTGAAGTTACCGAAATTGCCTGTGAATTAATAGATGTCTCTGACATCACGTTACCTGTCTGGCATTACATATAATAAAATGAAAATATATCGTTTCATGTATTTCAGTCCAAGAACGTTTCAGAGACAAAGTAGTCCCAAGAATAAATATTTTTAAGAATGTAAAATTCATCACCATACCATTTTATCTTACCATTGGCTCTGCCATAGCAGTTAGAATTTCATCCCCGCTTGAAGTAGATGTCTTGGAGGAGTCTACATGTGTCTTACATGTAATATGTACATCAAAGTCCTTACCAAAAAAAACTAGGTGCTTTTCGTACCTCTTACCAAGCATCCAAGTAACAAGTAGTGTGTGCAACTGTCTTGAAAGCTGGAGGTAAACTCCTCTCTTGGGAAATCAAAATGGATTTTTGCAGTAGCCCAGAAGTTATTATGGTAATTTGCATCGACTCCAAGAAAAAGAGTATATGTAGAGCATCTTTTTTCCTTATAAAAAGGGCATAACCTTTTGATCTTTGTTTAGGAATGTTATGGCAATTAACTTAAATTGAGATCTATAACACTATTAAGAAAAGGTTATTGTGCTAATACAGATTTGCAAATATGAGTAGTGATGTGCAAAACTTTTCAGTAACTTTAGCATTAACAAGACTAGTATTTTCCAGTATCCCATCATCATTTGTATCCCAGCCCTGAGGGCTTAAAGGATTTGACCAAGGCAAGAATGTTAATTAAATTTGACTTTAAAATTTAATAACAGTTTAAAGCTCTCAGGAGAATCTTATAGTGATGAGACGTGCTGCTCATTTCTGGAAATTTCTTAACTGTCAAGAAATAAGAGAAGGGTTTGTCTTGGTTTTTTGCCTCAAGGACATGTGCGTGATCCTTTAAAAAAATTGCGCTCAACCACTGTTTATCTTTTGACAAGTTTTGAATATAGATAATGAACAGTCAGTCTATTGATCAAAGGGTATTAAGACATCTAAAATGGCTGAGGTCACATCTATTAGTTTGTGTCAGAGCCTATCAAAGAATAAATGTGTGGGGTTTGTTGAAAGTAGCTTGAACTTATTTTTTCTATGAGATTAGACGTTTGTAGCATATTTTTAGGTTGCTTTTTACCTTCTTATTGCTAATTAGAAGTATCTTTTGGTTTAGTTGATGCTAATAGCAGGCACATTACCAAGCCTGTTCCCATCTGTTCTGTGGAATTCTTAAATGCCTGGTGTTAGATGTGGTCTTAGTTGAAAGAGAAGAAGTAAATGCTTTACAGTGTGTTGATTTGTTCATACTTCTGAAATGTCAGATACTTGGCTTATGCTAACATTTATGAAATTCTCATAAATGGCAAAAAGTTATTCATGAATTTAGTTTGATTGAAGAGCAAATATATGATATTCTTATTTTGACACTACACTAGAGAAGCAATCCAGGATGTAAGTTTCCTTTTTTTCACGAACTTTAAAATTATTTCTTTGTTGCCTGCAAAAAAATTTACTAAAGAAAAGTGCACTTTATCAATAGATATGTCAAAGTTTGGAAATAAATCTGACATTTTGAGAAATTTCAATCTTTCATCAGCACATGCAAAATTGGATGATCCATACATGCAGATTTTAATGGTAAAAAATTTATGCAAAAAAATTTTGAGTTTTAGAAATTATAACCATCATTTATATTTTGTCTATTATTTCATGCTAACTTACTGGAATGGGTTTAATTACAGTATATTATTATGTATTAGTAAACTAATTTTTTAATAGAAAATTTTAACAATTGTAGTGTAAACCCTTAACTATTTTTGTTATAGCTTATTTATAAAGAATTTGTCATGTTTTCAATCATAGTTGATCACATCAGTCTAAACAGAACACGTAATGTAGAAGCTTCATTTAAAAACACCAAATATAGACTAAAGCAGATGATTTCCTGCTACCTGTGATCTGATTATGTTATATGAAATGATTAATTTTTAGAAAAAAAAATCGAGGAAGTAGGTAAAATAGGCACGGCTTACCATATGACCGCTGTATAAGTCTCATCTGATTTCCAGACTCCTGCAGCAAAGAAAATCTATCCCAACAGCGTACACTGCACGTAGTAAAATGAGAAAAGTTCGAAAAGGCATTCTTCTTTTATCAAAGGGGATACTTATCATTAGCAGCCCAAAGGGGGTTTATATTGAATGGCTTTTCCTTCATTCATTCAGTAGTAGTAGCCTTGGCTTACAACGCATATTACGTGCTTAATTTGGGAGAAAATCTGCTGGCTTTGAGTCAACGGCTAGATCTAGGGTCTTTGTTGTGATTGTTTTGCTCTGTGGGATGGATAGAGAGCGGACATTATGGAGTGAGTTGTCAAAATACAGTTCACATCATTGCACTTGTGAAGTTTACTATTTTGTTTTGGGTGTTGAATAAAATTGGCTTTGTACTACAGCCGTGTGACTAAGGGGAAATATTAGCCTGATTTTCTCTCGTAGTCATTTAAAATTTGAATTTTAAAAATGATTGACATTTTAATATCAAGTTCTATTTAATGACAAATTTTCACCTCACTGATAGAAATATTTATTTATTTATTTATTTATTTATTTATTTATTTATTTATTGCTCATCCCAAGCAAGTTGATAAGTAAGAAAATAATTAAACCAGATTTTGTACAGGAAAAATGTGCACTAAATTTTGAACCTCCCTGTCATCAGTATCAAGGTGAGCAACTGTCACTCATTACAGACAGTCCGTTGATAATGAGGTATTGGGATACTTGAACCTCATCGGGTGGTCCAAGATTGTCTTCTTAAAGCACTGATGAGACTTTTCTGACTTTTGTCGGAATTCCGACCTTTTCAGGGTCATTTGGGTCATTTTGTGAATTGTTTACCCTGGACCCCTGGGCAATTTTCCTACTTTTTCAGTGAGGACTGGTCTCATCCCTGTAAAGGTATCAATTGGTTGAAAAGAAACTATTTTGTTTCACAAATTCAAATTTGCTGTTTTTGCCAATATTGGAAGTCAGAATTAATTAAACATTTTTGTGAGATTCATATCTTGGAAATATTATTCTTTAAAATATTGAAAAACCTTTGTGATTCTTTGTTGACTTAGGTATTTATGAAATTTATTATTGTTGTTAGAATGTAGCATATAGAATCTGATTCAAGATTTATATATATTTGGTGTACACAAGACAAAATACTGTGTAAAGTACAGTCATATATCTATCAGAAAGGGCTTTTTAAAGGAAAGACATGTTTTATATATTTTTCATTTATTTATTGTATCAGTTTATTATTGCCTTAATTCAAATTTTTAATTTGGTCTAAAATGTGATCATGCAAAATGGCCAAATGAAGTTAGCATAAACCCAGTATGTGTAAAATAAACTTTTTTAAGTTCTTCATATCACATTCATCCTATTCTTTCCTCATCCAAAAATGAATTTGAGTAAAAATTAGACCAGGCACTTTGCTCTTCCCATTCTATCCATGTACTTGAATGCTGTATGAAGTCAGTGTGCTGACTCAGTGCTGCCCCTGCTGTTAGAAGCAGTGTTAAACACACGGTACAGAACTTGGACTGACAGTTACAATGATAAATCAGTCTTTGAGAAAAAAATAATTAAGCCCATGAAGAAGTAGATAATCCATAAGTAAGTCTACTTAATAATTCAGGTGGATTTTGAAATGACTTTTAATGATAATTGTTTACTTTATGTTTTTTAGAAAGAAAAAGGAAATGTTAATTTAGAGTTTTTGGTCTTCTTTTGCACCACACCTTTTTAAAGAAAGATACTCAGTTAACTAGTGTTAATTATTTTCTATAGTGATTGGCTTAATATAGAATTTGGTCTGCATGATTAGAAATTAAGTACAAGAAACTTCTCACAATGGTATTATTTTAGTCTAAAGCACATATTTTAATTGCAGTACTGAAATAAAGACTTAATATAATTTTAGTATGCTTGGTATAATCTCAATTTTAATTTAAAAATCACCAAAAATAATTATCAACTAAAAATAGGTTTTGCTTGAATTACACAATGACAAGCATAGATACAAGTTACCTAAAAGAGGCACCATCACTGATATGAAAAAGAAAGAAAATCAAAATATGAAGTTTTTTTACCTTCCTAGATCCTGCTGCATCCATCGTGTGCACTTTGTGTTCCTTGCCTCTCAAGTGGTCCCTAATCCTGTATTAACAAGATGTACTGCATGAATTATATTCCATTACTCCTGAAGTTAGTATGGTGCAAATTGAGAAAACAACATGTGTAATATACTGGATGTGTACATATCTTACAAGACTAGAGACGGTGGACTTGCTCACTTAGGTAACCAAACATTGGCAGCCAGAGAGCTTAAAGTTGCTTATGTCTGCCTTTTGTGCCCCTCCCCCTCCCTTGCCCCCCCCCCCCCCACCAAAAAA